CTTTTTTGCCGTATGAGTATACGTTGCCCAGGGTGCACCACGTGGAGGTAAGTCTATCGCACACCCCGTCAGTGGAACATCATTAGTTACTTATGTACTGGAGGTAGTACTATGTCGATGCAACGTAAACTTCATCTAAATAATGCTGACTATTCCTGATATTTATTTATATCAAATGGCAGGCGTTTTAATGGTTATCATTAGCCCTTTGGTTGACTTCAGGCTTCACAGAGGGGAGGAGAACATCAACGAGAAAAAAAGTTGAGAGTGGGGACGGAATAATGATACACAGATGTAAAAGAGTCAGACGGACAGACACAAAGGCAGAGAAAAGGTAAGTTAAATAATGTGGAAGGCGTCGAATCAGACATACTATCGGGTCATGATAGTTTGAAATTAGAAGTCAACTGCCGCTTAATAGACTTTTTTGCCGTATGAGTATACGTTGCCCAGGGTGCACCATGTGGAGGTAAGTCTATCACACACCCCCTATTCTTGATATAAATTAGCATTAATTTGCAGTACAATCTCAGTAGTTTCAAATTCCGACGGATGAATTCGAATTTTGTGCTGTAGAGGAGAAGTGAGTCGATGGATTCCCAAGGTAGTCTCTCCTCAGTGAATACACTCTCAGAGGCAAATGACATCAAATTGGACGGACAAGTGTTCAGCTCTACGACTGTCTACAAAGGTAATGTGGTGGCTCTCAAGTTCCTGCCCTATCACCGAATTGACCTCACGAAAGATTTACTTATGGAAGTGAGCCGAGTAAGTTACCCGCCACCTCAATCTGTATGTTCATTAAGGCTTGATCTGGAAAGACTACCGATATATTGTATTTTTGTAAACTGTAAAGGAAGATTTTGTGCTTTAGGTCTAAGATATGTTAATTGACAGAATATTAGTGTGAAAATTCCATTACTGCCCTTGATAATTTTACCTGGAAATTGTTATCGGATCCCTTAAGCCATCTCCCCTTTTTATCAACATCGATGAATTTCTAATTTAAGATCGAAATGGATTTTCAAAAGAAGGCTTTGTAGTGGCATTTAATTTCCCCTTTGTACTTTTAATTGTGGTCTGTGGTCTTGCGTATCGCACCTAATCACCTAATTATTAAGAAGAGGTGGACTTTTACCCCTGCGTACATGTACTTTCTGACTCTGGCATTCCCATAGTTCTTTCTTTGAGTCTTGTAAGTGCAACAACAATTCATAAATCAACTTTCAAAAGAGAAATCTTGAACTTACATCAATCTTATGTCGACTAATCGCTCTGTAATGTGCACCAATCTTCACTCATGCGAATCAACGTCGCTAGCAACTTCCAAATAGCAAACTTATCAGTCAGTATTCCAAACCATGAAGGCAGTATGGACAAAGGGCCATTATGACCAAATTTTCAATTTCGACTTCAACTAGAAGTAATATTCAACGTCACACTTCTCTACCGAATGCACACCTTTGCTACGGACATTACTTCTGATTAATTGGACTATAATCTAATCGTGTCTATTTAAGGTGAAGAATTTGAACTACGATCACATCTGCCACTTTGTGGGAGCTTGTACAGAGCCTCAGCATCTCTGTCTAGTTTACGAGTACTGTCCAAAAGGAAGCCTACGAGATGTCCTTGAAGATGAGCAAATCAAGCTCGACTGGATGTTCAAGGTCTCACTGATGCAGGATATCTGTCGAGTAAGTTACTATTTTCTCCGTAGAGATTTTCATATCTCACAGCCACTACCAAGGTCACGAATTGGGATATTCAGTATTCCCTAGCGAAATTAACTGAGTAAAATTACATTTGCTGGGTTTCAGCAATAATACTCTATACTCTAGCAAATTCCTATTTCAAAGATTGGGCAATTTATTTATGCGGGTTTATCATCCCAATTTTATTTGGTATTTGAGTATCATTCATCACCTTAATAGCAATTGATTATCTTCTTTCTGAATGTTTGAATATCTTTAAGTTTTATGGGCAAATAATTTACATATTTATATGGTGGTCAAATTGGGGGAAGCTTGTGTTGCTACGATTGTGTTTAGCCTTACAAATAATAGAATCTCCATGTCAAGAGAGGTATCATGATTGATCATTGGGTCCGAAACGTCTGACACATCAAAGGGCTTTGAAAATGATTATTCTTTTTTATTTTCATTTGAAAGATAATTACAATGATTTGTACTCTTAGGGCATGATCTACCTGCATCACAACTACGGACCCCATGGCAAATTGAAAAGTCCTAATTGCATGGTGGATTCTCGATTCTCCCTCAAAATCACAGACTTTGGTCTGCATCAACTTCGTGGTCCCCCACCCCCACCCACCGACAGGAAGTCCTACTTCAAAAGTGCGTCTTGCGAGTTTGTACTCCACTCTTTTTAGTACCAAACGGAAAATGTTAGCATTTCTGTACCGTAGGTGCCATAGCAGTCAATCTTGAACTAATCCTAGCAGAAATGAGATGCTCATTGGGAAAACCTTTGCACAGTAACAAAGTATATTTACTTACGTCATTTGAAATAAGGATTTCTAAGCAAGCAAATAGTGACATTTTTAGAGGGATTACTATTCACTTTAAAATAATTATTGTTTATTAAATGAAACTAGCAGTAGAACATTCCTTCAGGGTTACGACAATATATTGTAATTCGAGAATAGTAAGTAAAAAAATGACTAGTCACTATGGTTTGTCCTGGTTGTGGCTGTTGTAGACAAATAATTTTTCCTAATTTTTTTCAATAAATAAAGACTCCAGCGTTAAAAAAATGTCAAAACGAATGCAGTCACCATATCCGATCGCACTTGCTCTTTGAAAGAGCTCTTCCTTTCTCAATTTTGTCGCTTTTGGGAGAAGCCACGTCTCCCTAACTTATCCCTCATTAACCCTCTTCTTAGCTCCTCCCCATTTTTGGGAGTTGCTTTCAATTGTGAAACCCACGCCAATTAGTTAATACACTTTTAGAGTAAAGTGAAGTAATTCGTCATTTGTCCAACATGGATGAACCAAAACACATACTGAAATTCAGACTTTACTGAGAAGCTTGACAAATTGGCAGTCAGGTTGAGTTGGAGTATTAGTTATTTCCTCCTCTATTCTCACTGGGATGGCATCGAAAATTGAAAAAGAAAGCCACTGTTAAACATAAGTTTATATTTTAACAGCGGGGTTGTGGGATAGACTTACCTCCACGTGGTGCACCCTGGGCAACGTATACTCATACAGCAAAAAGTCTATTAACTGGCAGTTGACTTCTGACTTCAAATTACCATGACCCCACTGTATATCATATTCGAATACTTTTACAGTACTCACCTCACCTTTTTCTACCCTTTCTACATTCGTCTTTGAAACACTCTTCTGTTCCTCCTTCGTCAATCTCGACTTTTTCACTTTGATGTTCCTTACACTCTGTGAAGCCTGAAGTCAACTAAAGGGCTAATGATAACCATCAAAACGCCTGCCATTTGATATAAATGAATATTTTAACAGCTGTCATATCATTATGTAATATCTAAAAATAATTCTTACTTTATTTTGCTTATACATGGCCTTGAATTTCATCTCTAGATCAACTCTGGTCTGCTCCAGAGTTACTTCGAAAATATCCCAACCATGGTGAGCTCCTGGGCACAGTGAAAGGCGATGTCTACAGTTTCGCCATCATTTGTCAAGAGATTATCTATCGAAAGGGTGTCTTCTACCGACCTGATATCTCTGATATTGAGGTAAGACCTTGAATTCGCTGTTGAATAGAATCAGGTGTACTATTATAATTCGAATAGTGGGCTTTGTATTCACTAGTTAACGTTCTGATACTGTGCTTAATGTCATGCATGCCTTTCTTTAGAAGGCTAGCTACAACTGATTGGACTCCAAATTTCTGCTGTGGCAATTTCCACAGATGAATATAAACAGTGACCATTTGAAGTAACAGAATGACTATTAAGAGGAAAGTGAAATTAAATATGGAAAGTAATAAGGTTGCAAGTGGATTAAATAAGTTTGAAAAAATAGAATCAAATCAAAAAAGGCCTGGCCCATCATTCATTGAAGATGAACTGGATGTATCGAATTAAGAATTACGCTGAGAAGTCAAAATTCCACAGCACCAGTTGATAGTTATAAAGCAGGAATTGCCTAGAAAACGCAGAAAACTCCCTTGACATGCTAATTTATGCAAAATCACCTCAAACTGATGCCATTCTAAATCGTGGTGAGCAAAAGGGCCCGATTTTTATTGCATCAAAAACATCTCTAGTTTAGTTCAAATAGGTAATTGTGCATAGTTTCTTAAATTCAATCAGGAAGTGATTTAGTACAATTAGTTATCAGGTGGTGTGAATTTGATGCTTTAAGAAACTGACCATTTTGGTTCTAATCGCAACACGATCCTTTCAAATCACCCACTTTCTAAGTACAAGCAGGATAAATCATTTCCATTTCCTGATCACATTTCGTCCATTTGCTGTCGTGAAAGGTGCATTTCGAGCCACAAAAAACGCCAATAATTCACATTGAGGCCAAAAATTGCGAGTTTTAATCGTAAAAGAATGTCGAACGAGTCTAATTGGGCATGCAACTTGAAAATGAGTCGGGAACGCGCAATTAGTGGTGTTGGGCACTCCAGGTGCTCTTTGTTTGGATTTTGAAAGGACTTAGTTGTCCACTTTCTCATAAAGAGTGCAGTTTATTGCATAATTGTCTAGTGCTCACATTTCATGCATCGAATCCTAGGTTAATTAATGCATTTATACCCATGAATTGTAACGCTTTAGTTATTTCTATGATAAATCATGTCACTACACCTTCATCAGTATCTTATTATAGCTTACCAGAGATCACTAAAGTTGAGTCAACTTGAATCCAGTCTCTTATATTCATTCAAATGAACACCTGGTGAGAAGAATACTCATTTGAGGAACATGGTGGAAGGGAGGAGTATTTAATTTGAAATTTCAAATGGCCTCAGATCCTTATGTCATCATGAAATATTATCGACTTTGGTCACCTTATGACAATAAATAAGGACATGTGTTTGAGATGGAGGGTGCTTTTCGAGCAAACCATGCTATTTTAGGCTTTCGAACGAATAATTTCGGAATATATAACAAAGGGTGATTACAAGATCATAATTAATAAGGAGGAAGCTAAATGCTCTCTAGAAAAACTTTTTTCTTTGAAATATAATTTGACAGTTAAAAATGAATGTAATTAAAACGTGTACCTATTTGATCGTCAGTTAAATTCATGTAGGCACCGTGATCCATAAAGCACACGGTTAATCGAAAGGGAGTAAGGAAGGGGGTTAAGTGGTCCAAGAAACATCAAGAAGCCTAGATGTGTGGGATTACAATTATTTTGCCACAATGACTACTTTAATCCGATACAACATGGGACCTGGGGAGGAGTATGTCTCTGGTTTTAGCTTCTCATTGATCTACTGAATATTCTTGTTTGTTAGGGTACGAACAGATGTTTCCGTGCTGGTTAACACGGTTTACTTACTTTCGCCTAAACAAAGAGAAGTTCACTAATCTAATTATAGATTGGTATTTTTTAAAGTCCTCCTTGATTTTTTTAATTAAAGACAATCGTGGAACGCGTGAAATCCAATCCTCCTTTCCGTCCACTGCTTGAAGTATCGTCGCAAGAGGGTCAAGGATGCAATGCTGATCTCGTGTCACTTGTTCAGAATGCCTGGGCTGAGGACCCCTCACTTCGACCCGAATTCACGACCATCAAAATGGCTATCCGCAAATTCAACGAGTCAGTACTCCTCTCACTATTTGCCTATAACCACCTTGCTGTTATTATCCTTATAGCTAGTCAGAAGGTTGACCTATACAAGGTCAAGGAATCTTGTATTCTTTGTGGACATTGCTGTAATTAACCAGTAACCATCTACTTATTGCTCCTATATTTTTGCCACAAAACTTTACGACTGGTTGTGGTTGTGATTAGAGCAAGAGGCGTTGTCTAGTATGGTGGTGGGTATGAGTAATTCTGTGGTAACCTGAGGTCTATGTTTGGGCAAAAAAGATATTGTAAACATTGAACCAACACTTTGAGTGGTTCAGGTTAGAGTAACTTCTTTGTACTGATCAATATCCTCATTAGGGTTATATTAGTGATAGATCCATTACTTATTGAACCGAAATCGTGTCCAATTTGCCTGGAAAGCTATGAAGGCAGGAGTTTCGAAATAGCCAGAAAATCGATAAAACTGGCAGAGAGATTGTTTAGTACAAAATGGTTTGAATTGCAATATAGTTGAGGTAGTAGTTTAACGTTTTTCAGTGGCGTATCGATATGCTTACGGCGAGTGAAGGTGTCGATCACATTTTTGGGAAAATATGAATTTTCTCATAATTTGTTTCCGAAATTTTACGCAAATCTAACATTTTATGATTAAAAAAATGAGTTAAAATTTCAATGGAAATGAAGTCGATTTATCTTATTCCCTTTTTATTCTTTCATGCGTTTATTTGAACGAACTAAAATTGCTCTGTACTAAAAAGGATTAGTTTATTTAATTCGGTCTGTTTATAACTATTTGGTTTGCAAGGACCTACTCAGTGATCGGAATGATTAGTCGTATTGGTTGCAACATATTATCTGAATGCGATTTTTCATGAGACAAGCTTTAGGATTCTACCTTTCTGCCCCAAGTAGGCATCGGATACCACTTTTGAGATCACTTCTAAAGCCCTAGTTCCGATTTCTTTAAGTCATACAAAAGACCGGAGGTGTTACAACTTCATTTTAGTTGACGCGCGCACTTACGCACGCACACAAAAGATCCCGTTTTCTTTCTTCCATTTAGCATTTATTTTTCCGGATTTTTTGCGTGTAGTGTATCTTGATACCATAACCAGACAGACTTATCAAAAAAACTAAAGAAAATTGCTACGTCATGTCATTGCAGACTGAAATTTGTTCAGGATCTGCGCTTTGTTTCACTAAATCGACTTTGAATTATGCTATTTCTATATATATTCGACGCGGAATAATAAGTACTTATGGTTAGTTAATTTTCATTAATCATTTGCAGGAGTGGAGATACAGGGAATCTACTCGACAACTTGCTTTCCCGTATGGAACAATACGCCAATAACTTGGAGGATCTTGTGGCGGAACGTACTGAACAATATCTCACTGAGAAGAAGAGAGTGGAAGATCTGCTCTATTCCATTCTGCCAAAGTGAGTATCGCTTTTTGGCTGTTTTTTTTCAATTGATTAAAGTAGACGACAGATTAGCACCTTGGGAGTACTTTAGTTGCATCTCAGTTTATACTGCTGATACTTATTCCAACAGCATCCAATCGGGTGGTAGAAAAATGTCAAGAGGTTTGTGGAATCACCTTCTTTAATCCCATACGTGAGTCATCCCATACAGGACCAAATAGGAATCTCATCGTTTAAACACTTCAAATCAACTATCACAGAAGTACCACACATGGGATGGCATAGTACTGTGACATTCCATTATGCTTAATATCCCCTAAATTAAGTTCCTCTGTTTGATTTACTGCAAATTTCCTGCCATCTTGCGTGTCTTTACCGAACGGCAATGAGAATATTTTGTTCCGCCACTTTTATTTAATCAATCTACTCTAAACTACTGAACATTTGGATGGAATTTCACTTTTTATGAGCAAATTCTGGCTATTTTTCCAGTTCGGTGCTTTCATTTTCAAAATTACTTTCCTTAAATTATTGTTGGTATTTAGGGTGACACAGGGAAAAGGAATTGGGAATTAAATTGTGCTTGTTTTGCAAGAAGAACATAGTTTTGACAAATAGTTTCAACGATATGAAGATTTTCTGCACTTATCAGAATATTACCTTGAATACTTAACAAATGCGTAAAAGAAATCAGAAATAATTTTAGAATGCAACGCAGTGAATATGAGTTGAACGGTGATAGAATTAATGGTGAAATTGAGTACATCGATGAAAGTGTTTTAATGAACTGAGTGGGGAATTTTCGAGAACACTAGGGGAGAGGGTGGGGGCTGAAAAAATTAATACTCTCTCCTCGCACACAGACGCGCGAAAAATTACCGGTACAAGTTTAGAACATCCTGCTGTTACTTGAGATGTCTTCAGTAACGGTTTAACCTAGGTTGGCTAGCCTCCAATCTAAGGTAGATAAATAACTTAAAATTTTGAAGTTCGGAGGAGAGGTGCATGTGATTGCTCTATTGTGTTTCGGAAAACATAGGTAAATGACATACTGTATCCTAAATTTCTAGATTAGGTTCAAAGAGGGTTATAAATAAAAATTTGGCTCGTTCTATCCGGGCATGCTAAATGTTTTAACACGCAAAACGAAAGAGTGATCACTGAGACCCACCTGAATCATGGTTGTCAACGCCATTTGTCATGCTAAGTTGCGATGGCCATGAAAAAAGAGTCAATGGTAGCTGCTCAATTCCCTCCTTAAAAATCAGCTTCAGAAAGAAGTGCTTGAGCACCCCCCTCTCACCGCCGTGTTGCTTGCACTCAGTGAATAGCTTCCCTACTACAAGGTCATGCAAATGTAGTAGATGCCAGCTTTTCATGAGCAATGTGAAGACACTTCTAAGCGAACTGAAGCATCCTGCAAAAGCTCAAACGCAATCGGGTTCCCTTCTGATGGGGAACATTTTGGCATAATAAATAATGGAATATTCGAAGTAACAGATGGCTTGGCTTGCGTCCAGTTCAAACGACACTCCTCGAGTCATGCGGACTAAATTTCCTCAAACTCTCAAAGGTTCTCGGATGCGTCC